TTTCATCCATATTTTTAGTTAAAGTTATGTGAGCTATATTTTGTTTTAGTCCTGCTTAACCTAAATCCTCTCCACAATTTTAGCTTAAACTTTGTTTCGTCAACTAAAACTATATGGCTTTGTTTGGCAGGTTGGGTTGGGGCTAAAATAACCAATAAGTGAAAACACCCAATCACATCACTCTCTTTACTTTTCTGCACGTCGTTTGTTTCAATAAGTTTGTCCACAACTAATGTAAAAAGCCAAGGACTTAGTGTTGATCTTGATGTAAACCTATTGTTATTGGAAATTCACTTGTTTCTCTCCTTAATGTTCTTGTCTAGTCACGACTCCATTGTACATGTACTTAAGTAAATCAATATATCTCATTGATACTTTTTTCTTTTCCAAAATTGTCCTTATTATCTCCTTATGAACCCTATCTTATGCTTTTCTAAGTTAATAAACATTGTGTGGGACTTTTTTTAAAAAAAATATATTTTATGTTCCTTGCATTTTCCATTAGAGGCCTAAAGCAGAAAAATATCTTCATAGTATGTAATGGGCCTCATATTTCTCGGGGTCATCAAATATTTTTGAGAAATTCCCAATTGTTCCTTCAAATCTATTCTATCAGTTTTTTATGATTGAAATCCATCTTCATTTCTCACTCATTTTTCTTAAAATGTTTCAAGTTTTTTGTGTACACTTGTAAGTTCGGTGCAACTTTGAGTGTCACATTTGTTCTTATACATTTTCTCAATTCATTAAACATTTTGTTAGTTGTATGGGACGGAATGTTGGGCAACTAAGAAACAACATGTAAATAAGATGAGTGTTGCTGAGATGAAGATGTTAAGGTGAATGTGTGGCAAGACTAGAAAAGATTAGGAATGAGTATATTTGAAAATGGGTAGGAGTAGTACCGATGAAAGATAAGTTGAGAGAGAATAGATTGAGATGGGTTGGTCATATACAACGGAGACCAACAGAGGTAATAGTGAAGAGATGCGATACAGTGACGGTAGATGATAGTGATAGGGGAAGGGGTAGACTTAGATTGACGTGGACTAGTGTAGTAAATAGAGATATGAATATCCTTAATTAAATAACGAAATAGCCTTGGATAGAGTTGAGTAGAGAAGAAGGATTCATGTAGCCAACCCCATTTGATAAGACTTAAGGTCTGGTTTGGTTTATCAAACATTTTGTTAGAATTTAAGATGTTATTAAACAAATTACCAACCAAATCGCCCTCTCATCAACCAAATACTCCCAAATTTCAGTAGGAATTACATTTGGTCTTACAACTTTTCTTGCTTTCATATAGCCTCCATTACCTACATTAGTCCAATCTTGCAAAATAATTTAATAATTCATATTACTACTAGAGTTATCAAGTTATTATTCTAATTGGTTTTCATTAAATAGTTTTTCCAAATTTCTCTGTGTATCATAACCTCATCTTCTGTAACTAGCACTCTTTAATTTTTACACTTATTACACTTAACATAGTTTAGGTCACTACTTTTTCCTTCTCTTATTTTGGCAAGTTTGTTTAGTTATTTTTCTCTATCTTTAGAATTTAATGTAATTGTAAATCCTTTCTTAGCTTATATTTTGGCTAATTTACATCTTTTAAAATTTCATTATTCCTACATATCCAAAAAGTTTAGGTTTTGATTACTTTTTGAATCGCTTCATTCCACCATCAAGTTTTCTTAAATGGTGTGTGACTTCCCTTAGATTTGCTAAGAATCTCTTTGCTTGTTTTTTAATGTAACTAGCCATCCTATGCCACTTGGAATTAAATCATCATTTGAAGTCCATTTTTCTTCCTTAATTATCCTACATGTAAAGAGGGCTAAATTTTGATTTTTAAATACCATTTAATTCGTGGGTGCCTACTTCCTCTACTCTTCATTTTCCATCTTCTAATACATATATATTAGGTAGTTAGGCTCTCTACTACTATTACTTTACAATCATTCAATGTTCCATTATCAACTCTCCTAATAAGAAAGAAATATATTTGGTTTATATTGTTTGACATTAAATGTTATAAATTGTTAGTAGCTCTTCTTAAAGCATGTGTTTGCTATTACAATGCCGTATGTCATTGCAATCTCGAGGATAGCAATACCTTTATTATTTCTCTTTCCAAATCTAAAACCCTATGTAGTCTCACATATCTCCACTCTCTCTCCCACATGGCCATTAAGAATACTGCCTATAGAAACTTTCTCCACTTGATATCCCTTGTACTAATCGATTCAAATTCCTCTCAAAATCATCGCTTAATAGATTCATCTAATGCTATTAGGTGTGGGTGAGAGCTAATAATATTTACTATCTCTTCTTCAAACATTAATTTCACTAACATTATTTTATCTCCTTTTCTTTTAATTGCTATTTCTTTTTTTTTTTTCTTTTAGATTTTATCTACAATTATCCCCACTTCATTCCCGTGTTTCTCTTTTCCTGTATGCACAATAATGTATGTATCGTGTTTTCTTAATTTTCCTAGATTTTTCCCAACTCATTTAGTTTCTTGTAAACAGATTATACTAATTCTCATTCTAATTATATATCTACTAACTCCATCCATTTATTGTTAATGTTCCTATGTTTCAAGTTCCTAACCTTATTTTCTCTCATTGTGGGGTTTGATCCCTCACATTGAATCTTGTAAGTCCCTAAATTATTTAATTTAAACCTACTTAATCCTTGAAAGGATTACAAAAATAAAATATAAGTCCATAAGTACTATAAATTAGTAAAAGACCTTACGTAGTTAAGATTTTATTCCAAAAAACCCTTAAATTTCTATTTTGTCTTTAAAAAGTGTTTTGTTGTGTTTTAATTGGTATTTGGTATCATAGCCTATTGAAGAAGTAGTATAAGATAATTTAAATAATAGTATTGTGTTACAAATAATAATTTAATTAGGTTATTAAATGAACTTAACGAAAATCTTAATGATAATTAATTAGAAATTATCAACGAAATCCAACATATAATACTTGATAAAGGTAAGCAGGTAGCAATTATAGAAGAGAAATAAGAAAATCTAGATAACTACCCTTATCCTTATAAAGGAAATTTACCTGAAGAACCTTGCGAGTTAATTCCACCTGAAAAATGTAAACATAATAGAAATTTAAGGTTTTCTTGGAATAAAATCTGTTAAAATTGATATATTATTGATTGTTGTATTGTTAATCTTCTGTCTATTACAAATGGTTCCTTATATAGATGTAGGTGTAGTGGATGGTGGTAGCGGTGGAGTGGGTTAGGTTTAGTGGAGTAGGTTCCTTATATAGATGTAGGTGTAGTGGATGGTGGTAGTGGTGTAGTGGGTTAGGTTTAGTGGAGCAGGTGAGGTGGTAGTGGTGGTAGGTGATGGTAAATTCGAACAGCCCCCCGCAAACTCAAGGAGGATAGAAACTAACCAACTTGAGTTTGAAGAGAGGAACAAAATAATAAAATACATAAAAATAATAAAAGGATAGGAGACACTGTATGGTCGTGTCAGACCATTGGTGAAGACACTGAATGGTGGTGTCATAACGTTGTAGAGGACACTGTATGGTGGTGTCATAACGTTGTAGAGGACACTGTATGGGGGTGTCATAACGGTGTAGAGGACACTGGATGGCGGTGTCAGACCGTTGTAGAAGACAGTTTATGGGGTCATGTCGGACCGTTGTAGAAGACAGTTTATGGGGTCATGTCGGACCGTTGTAGAAGACAGTTTATGGGGTCATGTCGGACCGTTGTAGAGAGCTAATGCCTACTTTTTAAAGACGGAATACAAATTAAAGGCTTTTTGAAATAAAATTTTAACTAGGTAGGGTCTTTTACTAATTTTTTGATTAGCTCCGGGGTGTTCGGATCAAAGCCTGATTAATCCTCAGGGGTGCACAGGCACTCGGTAAGGAGTTTTTCTCAAGTGCACTACGGTTAATTCAAGGGTTTTCTCCCAGTCCGATGGCCCTAAGGAACTGTTAGCACCTAAGAGGTTTCGATCCTTGAATATTGGAGGGAGTACACCCCTAAGACCTAAGGCCTCGCCACCAGGCCAATCCCTTGGGGTTCTTTTACTAATCCCTTATGGGCTTATCTTTAATTTTGTAATCCTTTCAAGGACTAGATAGGTTTAAAACTTAAGCTTCCATGGTGATCCAACTACTCCAATGTACTCTCCTTATGGTAGTGTCTTGCGTTCTACCTAAGGTTTCATGAAATTATCAACCTAATGCTAGTATAACACTAACACAAAGTTACCTATCAATGCAAAAACATATGGTCAATGCTTTCCTCATTCCTCCTACGCATACACACCATTGTGGAGACAACATTGGTTTGGGCCTCCTTTATTGAGTCATGTCATAAGTATTAAGCTTCTTTTGAGTTAAGGACCATGCAAATAAGTTTACTTCAAGAAGCACACAAGCACTCCAAATCAATTTACAAGGGGCAAAGAGTGGAATATTAGGCTATCAATAATCTTATCAAGGAAGGATTTACGAGAGAACACCCTAGATGAACGAATAGTCCATAATCTCTATTCAATGACTGCATGATTTAAAGAAACATCATCAAGGATAGATAGCAAAGAAGCCAAATCATTGGTCACCGAACATTAAAATTTCTGAAGAAATTAAAGTTCATAAAGATCGAAGCCAAATAAGATGAAGCTGTAAAGGATATGGAAACATTATGAGATCGAACAAAGACGATACAAGTACTGTGTGCTACATTGATATTTTGGCAGCAAGACTGGATTTATTGTTGGAGGCCTACAGTTGCTTTTAATGAGCAAATGTATTAAAAATTCTTTGTGAAGCTTTATCATATTAAACCTGTTTGCTATTCTGTGGTTTCCATTTATTCAATTTCAAAGTTTTCTGAAGTATCCTTCTTTCCTCCCTTTGACTTATTTGGATTGGAAATATCTTCAGCAAACAATTTTCTTTGGTTTTAATGTTCTTGGTTTTTTACATGTTTCTTGGCTGCAGATTTGGAGCTGACATTGCGCGTGGGGTCGCTGAACTACATGCAGCAGGAGTTGTATGCATGAATTTAAAACCGTCCAATTTTCTTTTAGATCCAAGTGGCTGTGCTGTGGTTTCTGATTATGGTCTTCCAATGATTTTGAAAAAACCTTCTTGCCGGAAAGCTCGAGAACTTGATTCGTCAAAAGGGCATTGGTGTATGGATTGCATGTTGTTGAGTCCTCATTATACAGCTCCAGAGGCATGGGAGCCATTAAAGAAGTCATTACACTTGTTCAGGGATGATGCTGTTGCTTTATCTGCAGAGTCAGACACCTGGAGTTTTGGTTGTGCGCTGGTTGAAATGTGCACTGGTTCAACTCCGTATGTGGCGAAAATTCTTCTTTGAAGTTATAAGTGATCAACAATTATTAATAAGAGATTATTTGTTCTGCAGGTGGGCTGGTTTAAGTGCGGAGGAAATTTATCGTGCTGTTGTTAAGGATCGAAGGCTGCCGCCACAGTATGCACATGTAGTAGGAGTTGGTATTCCTACAGAATTGTGGAAGATGATTGGTGACTGCCTACAGTTCAAGGCAACAAAGAGACCAACTTTTCATGCAATGCTTGCTGTATTCTTACGCCATCTGCAAGAGATACCTCATAGCCCTCCAGAAAGTCCAAAGAAGTATGAAATTCCTTCTGGCCTCTGCTGTGACATATTGCTTTTAAAATCCAGTCCTCATTTGTTACATACATCTGCGAAAAATAGTAAGGTTAAACAACATAGAATAAAATAAAGTATGAAAACTGAATCACTAGGAGAACTTGCTGAAGCATGAACCAGGAAAGTTATCCATGTACTAAGCAAAAATCCTTACATTTCTAAGAGGTCCGGAGTGACTTCATGAACTATGAATTTTACCAATCTCATCTTTTATGTTTCTCCCACATATACTGTTATTTTTGTTTTCTTCTGTTGGAGAGTTTATTGAAGCAAACAATCAATAAAGCATTGTCCCCCTTTTTGGGAAGGCAAGGGAGGTTTTTTTTGGGACCAGGGGTGTGGTGTTTCTTTACTACAATCCTCAATACATTTGTGGGTAATTTTCAAAAGCTCAACTACTTTTGATATGTTGGAATGAGATTATGTAACCCTAGATTATTACTCACCAAAAGAAAGAAAAAGAAGAAGAAAACTTTATTTGACTATCAACTAGCTTATCATGTTTGAATTGGAAACATCCAAATCACTTGAAGGAATATGTCAAATAAGAAAGAAAAAAGGTACGATCTTGATAGATGAAGATCCATGCAATGGTATAGGCATTTGCTCTTCTGAAGGATTTTTCTAGAAAATCCTGTCCCCATTCTGTGAAATAAATTGAAGCACACTTTTTCTGCCAATTACTCTACTAATTGATCTTTTGTTAATTATTAGCATAACTCTTCCATGAATATCTAACCTCTACTTTGAAGAAACTAAGTTATCTTGACATGTGAAGTATACTGTCTTCTCTGGAATCCAGTGAACTTGCCAAATGTCCTCAAATGGATGCGTTGGAACGGTCCCCGACATCTGTTTTGAATGGTTTCCATGTTAGCCCCAACTATCTGCATCAGCTTGTTTCTGAAGGGGATCTATATGGTGTTAGGTCAGTCAGTTATTTGTGATGTTGCACTCAATTTTCTGCACTCTAGAACTTATTTAAGAATATTTAAGGCTCTGTTTGGTTTAGGGCTGGAATCATGATTCCACCCTATGATTCTAGCCCGTTGTTGATGCCAACCCCACATTTCAAGACATGTCTGGTAACCAGAGAGTTTTTGAATTTTTGGGTCTACCCGGTCGTCTGCTTGGACATCCTCTCGGACGTCCGGCCGGTTGACCAAAATAGTGTTTTTTTTTTTTTTTTTTAGTGTTTTTTTTTTTTGCAATTGCCACCTGCTATTTGAAAAAAAAAAAAAAAAATTATATTTGTTTTTGATATTTTTTAAAATATAGAAATTATTATTTTTAGACCAAAATGACAAATTATTTGGCCATTTATATAAAATTAACAAAAAAAATAAAAATTAATTTGTCATAGTAATTTTTAAAAAATAAAAAAACATTTTTAAACAAAACAATTAAAAAAAATTTCCATTTAAATATGTAATCAAAAGTAATTTTAAAGCACTAGCTGAATATTCTTTTTTAACAATTTTTTTTTAATATTTTAAATAAAAATGTTTTCAGAATTTTTTGAATTTTTAAAATAAAAATCTAATTTTTTTCAATAATTATTTTTTGAATTGAATTTTAAGAAAAGTTTTGAATAGAATTTTCAATAGAGTTTTGAGTTGTGTGTTTGGTTATGAGTTATAATTTTTAATTAAGTTTTAAAAATTCTTTTCAAAACTCATAACCAAACAATTTTTCTTATTTCAAAACTCATTTCAAAAATTCAGAACTCAATTCAAAACTCTTTTCAAAACTCATAACCAAACAAATTTTCTCTTTTCAAATTTTGATTCAACAATTCACAAATTTAAAATACAACTCTATTATCAAATCATGATTCTAAAACTAAACCAAACACTACCTAACATTGTCACAATCATTTTTTTGTTTGTATATGTAGAGATCTTCTCGCTAAGACTGCTTCAGGAAACAATAGCAGCTCAGTTATTTCTCTGTTGGAAGCACATAATGCTGATGGTCAAACAGCTCTGCACTTGGCTTGTAGACGGGGTTTCCCTGAGCTAGTTGATGCCATTTTGGAATACAGTGCTGCAGATGTAGATATCCCAGATAGTGATGGAAATCCACCAATTGTATTTGCTTTAGCAGCTGGATCAGCAGAATGTGTTTGTGCACTCATCAAAAAGTCTTCTAATGTCATATCTAGGTTGAGGGAAGGCTTTAGTTCATCTGTTGCTCATGTCTGTGCATACTATGGGCAACCAGATTGCATGCGTGTGAGTGGCCAATTTGTCAACCATTTTTTAGTTTAATGTCATTCCTTGTGCATTTTTCAAAATCATCTCAAATTTCTCTTTCATGATCACAGGAGATACTATTAGCGGGAGCTGATCCCAATGTGTTGGATGATCATGGTGACTCTATATTACATGTAGCCCTTGCCAAGAAATTCACAGAGTGTGCTATTGCAATATTGGAAAACGGGAGCTGTAGATTAATGGGTGCCTTTAACTCAAAAAACTTGACGTAAGAATTGGCTACTGATTGTGGGAAATTATTTTAGATAAGAACCCCTGTCGATTGACTTGCCATTTATAAAATGTTAAAATTGATGTATAAAAAGAAATAGAGAATTGTATTATTGATTTGATAAGAACCCCTGTCGATTGACTTGCCAAGTTGCCATTTTTAAAATTATTCTTTTTTAATCACAACATTTCCTTTTAAGTATATACTATCTTCTCCTAACAGCATGCTACTGTTTGTTTTAGGGAAAATTGAACTTAATGACACTATCACTCCCCAATATATTAATAATATAAAACGTACAATAGAAGTCTCAAGGCACAAATGAGGAAACTACAACTAATGACAGCTAACCAGAATAATACCATAATAACAAAGATATTATTCTAACACTCCTCCTCAAGTTGGTGCAAAAATATCTCTAACGGTTTACTTGCAACTCCTTTGGTGAGAATATCTGTTAGCTATTCTCTAGACTTCACAAAAGGAGTACATATAGTGTCACTAGTGAGTTTCTCCATGATGAAGTGGCGATCAATCTTAACATGTTTTGTTTGGTCATGTTGAACTAGATTGTGAGTTATGTTGATAGCAGCCTTATTGTTACAGTATAGCTGCATGGAGTCTGTCTGATCAATCCCCAGATCACTCAACAGTAACTTGATCCACAATAGTTCGCACACATCTTGTGCCATGGCTCTATACTCCGCCTCTGCACTAGATTTAGCTATCACATTCTGTTTTTTACTTCTCCATGTAACAAATTTCCCCCAACAAAGGTACACTCGATGTGGACCTTCTATCAGTTACTGATCCTGACAAATCAACATCTGTATAAGCTTCCACACTAAGATGATCATGTTTTGAAAAATAGAGACCTTTTCTAGGTGAAGATTTTAAGTATATAAGAATCCGCATAACTGTAGTCACGTGTGCCTCATGAGGAGCATGCATAAATTGACTGACCACACTAACCGCAACAGTAATGTCAGGACGTGAATGGGATAGGTAAATGAGTTTACCAACTAGTCTCTGATAACTCCCCCTGTGAACAGGAACTTGTCCACTATTATCACCAAGTTTCTGGTTTGGCTCTAGCGGTGCGTCACAAGATTTATTTCCAAGCATCCCTGTTACTTTTAACAGATCAAGCACATATTTCCTTTCACAGATGAAGATTCCATCCTTGGACCGGGCAACTTGAATACCTAAGAAATACTTCAAGTTCCCTAAGTTTTTGATTTTAAACTCGCTTGTCAAATATTTTTTCAACGAGGAATTTCTTCAATATCATCTCTTGTAAGTAATATGTCATCTATATATACAATGAGAGTTGTAGTCTTATCATGTGAGGATGTTTAACAAACAAAGTGTGATCAGTTTGACTTTGTTTGAATCCATATCTAAGTATTTCCTGAGTAAATCTCTCAAACAAAGCCGTTGGGGATTATTTGAGACTATATAATGATTTTCGAAGCCTAAACACCTTACCCTTTGTTTTAAAGTCTTCAAAGCTGGGAGGAAGTTCTATATACACCTCTTCTTCTAGATCACCATATAGGAAAGTATTTTTTACATCAAACTGGTGAAGTGGTCAATCTAGATTAGTTGCATGAGAGAGGAGTACCCTGACTGAATTCATCTTAGCAACTGGTGTAAATGTCTCTTGACAGTCTACTCCATAAGTGTGAGTAAAGCCTTTTGCCACAAGCCAAGCCTTATAGCGCTCAATCGAACCATTGACCTTGTGCTATAGTATACATCCACTTGCATCCCACAGTTCGTTTGCTCTTAGGTAACTCAGTCAATTCTCAAGTGTCATTCTTATGAAGTGCTTTCATCTCTTCAATCATGGATGTTTCCACTCAGGGGTGGCAAGAACATCCTGAAAATGAGCAGGTATACTAACAGAGGAAATTTTTGACACAAATGCTCTATATGAGGGAAACAAATGAGAATAAGATACAAAATTAGAAATAGATGTTGAGTACATGACCTCACACTCTTCTGGTAGACAATAGAAAGATCAAGATATATGTATTCAGGGTTATCAGAGTTACCTAGACTCTCTTCAGTTGAAGGAGACAGCAGTGGAAGATCAGTAGAAGTGGTCTTTTGGATCCAAGTAACCTTCTGTCTTTCTTTGTTTCTAACATAAACTTTTGCTTGCTTCTTGAGTGTATCAGTTTCTGTATTCTCAATAGTTGGTTTACGTTGTGGTTCACATGCTACCTCCTTAACAATTGCAACAACTGGTAAGGATTTAGAAACATGAATCTCTTCACAACAAGGCTCCCCTTGAAGGGATGATTGGGAAACCGAAGAGCACATGAAGTAGGATTAAGACTCAAAGAATGTGATATCCATGGATACAAACCACTTATGAGAAGTAGGATGATAACACTTATACCCTTTTTGAGTAGGTGAGTACCCAAGAAAGACACACTTAATAGAACGGGGATCCATTTTACCATGTGAACGAGAATGATTGTGAACAAAGAAGACACACTCAAAAACTTTAAGGGGAATAGAAGAAACGGATTGTGAGCCTAAGAATACTTGAAGAGGGGTTTGCTTGTGCAGCACTTGAGTAGGAAAACGATTGATAAGATAGGCTGTGGTGAGAATAGCTTCACCCCATTAGGACCGACACATATGCATAGAAAAAGTCATGCAGCGAGCTATATTAAGAAGATGATTCTTGTGTTCCACAACCCTATTTTGTTGAGGGGTATTGGTGTAAGATGTTTGATGAATAATGCCACGGGTGTTGAAACATTGCCCTAACCTTGAATCAATGTACTAACCTCCATTTTTAGAATGCATATTTTTGACAACTCCAAATTAAGTGCGAATCATCTGATGATGAAAGGTTTGAAATACGGAGAAAACATCACTCTTTTTTTTTTTAAAAAGGTAAATACACCCAAGTAGTGTAAGAAAAATCATCAATAAAGGTGACATACCATCTATGACTTTTTAATGAAACAACACGAGGACCCCAAATATCAGAATGAATTAATGAAAAAGGAACAAAACTTTTATTAATACTTGGAGCAAAAGAAGCTCGGTATTGTTTGCCAAGTAAACATGACTCACAATTAAACTTAGAAACTTTATTGGTCAAGAAGGAAACAAATGCTTAAGTAATAAAAAAGATAGATGTCCCAGACGCCGGTGTCAAAGCCAAATGTCGTCCTTGGTGGTTGGAAATTGGATGGTATGATGAGCCAAGTGATTTGCCTGATCCAAGATGTAGAGACCATTCTCTGCTCTACCACAACCATTCTTCCTCCTCGTGATAAGGTCCTGAAAAGACAATGATCAGGAAAAAAGGTTACATGACAATTCAAATTCTGAGTAAGACGACTCAATTATAGAAGATTAACAGAAAAACTGGGAACATGTAAAACCGATTACAAAGGTAAAGATGTGGCATGGATTAAACATTTCCTAGAAACAGAAGAAATGGTACCATGAACAATCTTAACTTTGTCCTGACCTGAAAATGGCTTATATTTTGAGAAAAGATCAGAAGATCCAATCATATGATCTGAGGCACCAGAACCAATAATTCAAGGCAAAGCTTTATGAGATAGGAAAGCACTTATAGAAGTGGCTAAGTTACCGGAATGGGCAAACAAAGAGGAAGATGTACCGATAGGAGTAGTGGAAGTCTGGCGGTCCAGCAAGTGACATAGACTATCCTTAAACTCAAAAAAAGACATACTAGACACATCATCAGTAGACTGAACAGTTGGAATAGAGTCATGTGTATCAACTGCATTATTATGATGGGCACGTGGGTTAAACCCACGTCCTCGAGACTATCCAAATCGACCTCGTCGACCACCAGAGGGTCACTATGACCTCCAGATGGGGTAGCATGAAGCTTCCAACATGTCTCACAAGTGTGTCTAAGCTAGCAACAGTAGTCACAAAACAAATTATCCTTCTTAGAAGGATTGTGTGAACCACGAGACAAACGATCCCCATCTCTAGGAAGCAGAAACTAATGCAAAGCGCTCCGTGGAGGTAGAAGGAAGCATAGCTGAATGGCGACTCTCCTCATTCTGTACATAAGCAAACGCTTTCTGAAGGGAAGGGAGAACATCCATGCCAAGAACACGACTCCGAACATGATCAAACTCTACATTAAGGCCTTCCAGAAATTTAAAGACTCTTTCCTGTTCAATAAATTTGTTGTACTTCACAGAATCCATTAGACATATTGGTTTGTAGTCCTGAAGGTGATCCAAATGTTTCCAACCATTACTAAGGAAAGTGAAGTACTGAAGCATGGTCATCTCGCCCTGTACGGAGCACTCAATCGAGTGGCGCAACTCAAAAGTTTGTAAAAAATTCCCTTTTTGGGAGTAAGTAGTGGCCATAACATCCCAAACATTCTGGGTTGTCTCCATAGATAAGTAATCTTCACCAATATTTGGAACTATAGAATGGATGAGCCATCCCATAATCAAAGAATTGGTAATCTCTTATTGGTGACAACCTAGATCAGTGATATTTGGTGCTTGGACTCTCCCATCAACATAACCCATCTTTCCCCTACTCCTCAGAAAAAGTGTCAAGACTCTGCGACCACGCAAGGTAATTCTTACTATTAAATAGAGAGGTGGTGATTTTGAGGTTAGGATTCTAGTTCTCAGATGTAGTAGTCATAATGGGACTCTAGTCTTAAAGGTGGGTGGAAAGTAGTGGTCGACTCACTAAATGGGTCAGCCATTTAGACTCTACTATCACAACCAAAAAACTGCACTAATCACAATTATGGGACGATGGAATGGACTGAATTGGGAACAAGCAAAATCAAACACAGGCTACTATGGGAGCATACAAATCAGATTACTAAAGCCATATAATGACCCAAAAAATAAATTAAATTAAGGGAAAAAGTAACCTACAATCAAAACAGGGGCTGAACTATTCTCGGAAAAATAGGGAAAAAGTTGTAGGTGTAGAACTGGTTTCTAGATGGACCAATCAATACATATCATGAACCAAGCCTCAAACGGACATCAGCGACAGCTGAAAGGGGGCAAAGGGACTGCTAACTATAGGTTCATGTCTACTCCATGATGTGACTGTGACATATAATCATAAGTGTGCTTAAGGATACCACAATCTCACTATCTCCCCGATCTGCGTGTTCCAATCTACATGTAGGATCCACTTCCTAATCCACATGTAAGATCCACCTCCCAGTCTACATGTAGGATCCACACCTCCCAGTCCACATGTAGGATCCACCTCCCAATCTACTTGTAGGATCTCACCTCTGGATCTACATACATGTAGGATCTCGCCCTAATCTCTCATAGGATTTCTAGGTCAGATCTACATACATGTAGGTGTGAGAATATTAGTCTATATATTTGTATATAGTTGAGAGATTGTGTGAATATTTTATATTCATAGGATTATTATTGTTTCCATTTAGTCTTAGGTCTAGAGTTGCTATATAAATCAGATGTATACTTTGCATTGATTTACAATTGAACAAGAGTTGCTATATAAATCAGATGTACACTTATATAAATCAGATGTAGAGTTGCTATATAAATCAGATATATACTTTGTATTGATTTACAATTGAACAAGAGTTGCTATATAAATCAGATTTACACTTTGTATTGATTTACCATTGAACAAGGATAATCCTATGAATATAAAGTATTCACACAATCTCTCAACTATATACAAATATATAGACTAATATTGTCACAGTAGGATCTCAGCTCTGGCTCTATGTACATGTAGGATCTGACCCTGATCTCATATATAGGATTTCCAGGATCTGAATATATCTAATTCCCCCACCCATCTCTGAATGAGATCGGTCACATGAGCTTCATCACTCGCGACCCGTCTCTAACTTATACTTGGCTCTAGAACAACATAGGCTAGGAGCAAGTCCTAGGATTTGTGCTTTGGATCATTTGAGGACTTGTGACTTGGAGGTTAGAGCTGAGCGATCATCAACGTCCCCACTTGGGGACACTTGACCAATCTTAGATGAGAGATTTTGCCAATACATGTGATGTATCACACCTGCAACTTGCGATCTGCAATCTGCTACTGCAATGTGTCACACTCCTAACACTTGTAACCATGGCGCATGGAGTGTGCGTGCAATACTATCGGGATCCACTGACCACTTTGATATGGTCGCAACAGAGACTGATCATGATATTAGTACTGTCAGAAGATCCCTCTTTGTATAAGGATGTCTTCCCAAGCAACAAATCAGCCATCTGTACACTCCTACACAGGTCTCTCTTGCACAGAAGATCTCAACTGCCGCCTTCTCTCCTCTAAGATTGCCTTAGCTCTCTTCTCTTCTTCCAGCGATCCCAAGCCATCCAAGAGTGTATTATCTTCCTAGATCAGCTTGTTTCGGCCACCCCAGACACAATCTTCCACACTAACATAGGTATTTGTTTAGAAGAGGAATGAAATTCTAAAATGGATCCGTTTAAGGAAAAATGCATGAAGTTTTTAAAAATCAATGCTGACGGTTTTTTCCTTGTATACAATATTTAGTAAATCAAGGTGTTCTGTTAAAAGTCATCAAAAGGCATAAGCCATGATCCTGCATAAAAGAAAAACAATCCATATTTTCTACAAAGGCCGAGGAGTGTCAAGGGAAGGATTAATCTTCCCTCCTACTAATTGAAGACGGCCCCTCAGCAAGGGATGCTTCTTTCCCTTGGCAAGGGGTTTGGGTTTCTGGGGTGTCATCTAAAGTGGCTTTTTTTGTTTGGTCAGCTATGCGTGGACAGATTTTGACTTTGGATGATTTAATTCAGCGTGGCCATGTTTTAGTTAATTAGTGCTTCTTGTGTTGTCATGATGTTGGAATCTGTGTCGCATCTTCTTCATTTTCCAGTGACGTCTGAGTTATGGGGATCGATTTTTGGTGTGCTTAATTTGGTTCGGGTGCAGCAGGGGACGGTGAAGGGGGTGTTGGGTAGTTGGAGAGTGGGTAGGGTAGGGTAGGGTAGGGTAGGGAAGAGGCGTCGGAGGGCTTGGTTGTTGGCACCTTTATGTCTTATGTGGCCGAGCGGAATCGTCAGATGTTCGAGGGGTTAGCGTCTTTGGTTCCTTGTTTGAAAAACAAGTTGCTGGTTGTCTTGCACAGATGGGTTTCCGAGACTGTGGATCCGGATTTATTTACGTTTTTGGATTTCATTGAGTCTTTATTTCGTCATTGATTGTAGTTGCTGGGTTCTTTGCATCATCTTGATGCTTTTTCAATAAAATTTACTCTTTATTTATCAATATATATATATATATGAAGTGCTTTTCAACTCCTTGAGTTCATTGAAAGAATTCTTCTCCACCCAAACGCACCTCATCAATAGAAGTTAAGTGGGATATGATGCTCCCTTCTTCTCTTAATTTAATTCGATCACCCTATCAAATTTCTAAAAAATATCTGCCACTGTTACAGAGCAAACCCAAGACATCCCATAGCCAACACTGGAGACCACACTTTTGTAACACCCTATGGTAAATGAGAATATTGTAAATCGACTCCCTGAACAGATTATGGTCATAATATATATGTTTATACTATTTCCAACCCCCCAGTAAAAAAAAAAAAAAAAAAAAAAAAAAAAAAAGAGAAAAAAAATCTCAGTCCTATTTTTATATAATTACATGTACATAATTTCTGTACTGTTTGTAGGAATTCTTGAATGCAGAGTTCAGTGTGTTTATATTATCATTTTTGTTTTCCCGCTCTGATTTACATGTTTTTCCTCTTTGGATATCTCAGGCCTCTGCACTTGTGTATAGAAACATTGAACATCACTGTTGTCAAAAGGTGGGTGCAAGTTGCAACCACTGAAGAGATCGTTGAAGCAATTGATGTACCAAGTCCAGCTGGAACTGCATTATGTATGGCAGCTGCCCTGAAGAAGGATCACGAATCTGGTAGAAGTTAATTATTTTGTTTGACAGTGGTGGTCTTTTTTGTTGATTCTTCTGCAGACTGTTTCAATTTTGTGTTCATAACTTGGAGATTCCTTGTTTATCTATGTTTTCCTGCTATTTTCATTTTGCTAACAGGGTTGAAAAATTTCTGATGTACTGCTTAAATCCTTGTTTTGTAGAAACATTGGTTCCTCATTGGATTACCTGGCTTAATTTATATGTAGTTAGCTTTTCTGTATTTCTTTGAAGTTGATGTAGGACGAATGTGGGTACACTCTTATGCTAGTAAGTGAACCTAACTTTGGTTTGTAGCTGTGGAAAGAAGACAGTCGTCTGATTTAATTAGGTTTTGTGACTGAAAGATCAACCAAGAAACAACATGTAGATAAGATGAGTGTTGTTGAGATGAGAATGCTAAGGTGGATGTGTGGTGAGACCAAATAAGACAGAATTAGGAATGAGTATATTTGGGAATGGGTAGGAGTAGTACTGATAGAAGATAAATTGAGAGAATCGATTGAGATGGTTTGGTCATATTCAACGAAGTCCAACAGAGGCAGTAGTGAAGAGATGTGATGCAGTGATAGTAGATGGAAGTGTTAGGGGACCAGGTAGGCTTAGATTTACATTGGCTAGTATTGTAAATAGAGATATACTTAGAAAATATGAGGAAGGAAGATAAATTGAGAGAGAATCGATTGAGATGGTTTGGTCATATTCAACAAAGACCAACAGAGGCAGTAGTGAAGAGATGTGATGCAGTGATAGTAGATGGAAGTGTTAGGGGACCAGGTAGGCTTAGATTTACATTGGCTAGTATTGTAAATAGAGATATCAATCTACTTAATGTTGACTAATGAAATGGTCTTTGATAGAGCCGCGTGGAGAAGAAGGATTCATGTAGCTGACCTCATTTGATGGGACTTAAGGCTTGGTTTGGTTTGGTTTGGTTTATTCAGAGGCTGTTCACGTACTGTAATTATGCTAATTTCGGGTGTCTTAATGTGTTATGGTTGTTCATTTGATGGAAGAATAAAACAGGCTTGCAAAATAAGGTTGAAAAGAGTGAAGCAAAGGTTGGGAAGATCTGGTTGAGGCTTTAAAAGGCTTAATATTGCAAACAGAAAAGAAAAGAAGAGAAATCTAGGAAGCACTCTTAGAACTAGGTTTCACATGACACTTAATGTGAAAATTGCATCACACAATTCATAAGCAAGCTTCAAAGCTCTGAATTCTCCAAAACTCAACTCTATTGAATTAGAATAATTACATGGCTTTATATAGTCTTTAGAGAACTCCTTGTCCTAAGATGATTTTTAACTTCTTATTTGGAAATTAGGAATTTTGACTTCTAAAACCGATCTAAAACCAAATAAGATCCATGGGTGACTCTTTTAGTCTGTATCTTTAGAATTTTGAAATTTCCAAATTATCCGTGACCTATGAAACAAGTTCATATTGAAAACTGATCAGATTAATACCTAATCTAAATATCTATAAAATAAGATTATAATAAGACTAAAAACTTAATTTCACGTGATTTCAATTGGTTCCAAGTGAGTCAGCTTAAGACTAACTTTTTTTTTTTTTTTTTTTTTTTTTTTTTTTTTTTGTACTGGAACGTAAATGCTTCTTTAATTTTTTGTTTTCTTGCTCTTCTTTTGGACTGCATTAGAAGTTCTATTTTTATTTTTTTCTGGTCAACATTATTTGATCATTAGGTGTACGCAACAACAAAATAACTAATGTCGTTTTCTGACTTTGGATCCTGAACTGAGGTTGATTAGCTTCTGAAAGTGTTCCTATTATTGTGTTTTATTATTTATTTTTCTTTCCTAGCTTTAGCTAGTTTTTATTGAAGGTTAGTGATTTTAGTCTGAGGCATTATTTTTGTTCATTCAATTTTTTTAGAGGGTAGGGAGCTGGTAAAGATATTGCTTGAAGCTGGTGCAAATCCAGAGGCCCAAGATACTCCACATTTTCGAACAGCTTTGCACACAGCTGCCGTGGCTAATGATGTTGAGTTGGTTAAGGTTAGTCTATTTGCTTCTTTATTTCCCATTTAATTACCCACTGCAGATTTTTAGCCATGAAATAACTTTTTTGGTATTTAATCTATATTTTCAGCTGAATATGATGGTTTCTATACTTTTTTGAGTAGGTTATTCTTGATGCTGGAGTGGATGTTAATATCAGGAATATGAGCAATACAATTCCCCTTCATTTAGCATTGGCCAAAGGTGCAAAACCATGTGTTGAATTGCTTTTATCTGCTGGAGCAAATTGTAATTTGCAGGTTGGTTTCTCTATTTATGATTGTATTTCTTGTTAAGCTTTTTAATACTGAAATGGCAAACGGTATTTAAATGTCTGTCTCTTTTTCTTGCGCAGTCACTCTATTGTAGTTCAACGTAATATGTTCAGCGTAATACCATGACAATAACTTTCTGTTGTGTTTTGTGTCAAGGCTTGCAAAAGGTTATGGCAATGCCTTGCAACTAACAAGCAACGCACCATGAAATAAGGCCGTGCTGTTGGTGGATTTCAAAGACAAGTCCATGGGGTGCTGGTTCCTCCATAGGGTGGCTTTAATATTCTTCTCAATTCAAATTTTCCATGATCATCTGTGACCTACATCTAATTTTTCAATGGTGCAATACCTTTTTACTAGGGCTGTACAAATAAATGAACCACCCGTTGAATCCGACCATCTGACACCACCCACATACGGATGGTTTTCGAGAGTTATCTGGTTAGTACTGGGCCAGATTCATTCTTCAATTTCGAGTTTCAGTCATGTTTCTGGTTTTGTACGTGATTAACCATTAATCTGACCTGAACCGAGATATACATACATATTATTGTAGATATATAGATTTCTATTATTTGGTTGTCTTGATAAATTACACTTCGATTTCCAAGATTGAAAAGATGGCCTGTGGGCCTCATCTCTTCCCAACGTTTCATCATTTATTGCCTTGGTAGATTATTCACTTGGATTTTCAAGATTAGTGAGCCTCATCTTTTCTCCACCTTTTCAGTCTCACTTTGTCTCTCTGTTACTGTTTCCTCCCCTTAGTAGCAGAAACCTTCTACTTGAGTGGCATTTCTTGCTAAGAAACGCGAAACTTGTAAGAAACTCGCTCCCAATTGAGAGAGAAACTTCTCAAACATGTAAATCTCATAAAAATGAAAGAAAAACGACTCAAACTTATTCTAGTAGTTTCTATTTATATAATATTTATCCTTAATAAAAAAATTTGTAGTTTACATGAATCTCTAATATTTATTTATATTTTAGTACATATATTACAGCTAAGAAGCAAAAAATTTTGTTAGAATATCTTTATATATTTGATGAATAAATATATATACGCTCTCATAGACGCTCTCAACCTAAGAAATTTCTATATGCCCTCGCTCCTCTGCTCTTGCTCCCGCTCTTTGGACACCATTTCCGAAAGGTAGTGGCATCTTGAGAACAAACAGCTTGAAAATTCTGATAATAGTCTAACTCTTGTCACAAACTACTCAACTCAGCATAGTACTTGGCAAAAGATCTATCTTTTTGATCAAACCCTTGTATCTTCTTCCGCAATTCATAGGCCTGGGCATTATTACCACGTTGAGAATACATCTGAGCAACAGCAGTCCAGAGGTCATAAGCAGTATCCATCAAAACAAAAGAGCGACTAATACTGGAATGGATAGAATTAAGGAGCCAAGTCAGGACAAGAGCATCCTCCTTAAGCCATTTTTCGCGGGCTGGTCCATTCTCCTTGGGAGCCTAGTAACTCCTTTGATGTGACCAGACATCCCACGAGTAGTAATGACCAATTAATACGAACATGACCAAACCAAGTAATTAGTGCCATCCAACTTGATTGAAGTAAGCTGAAGAGAGGAATTATCACCGAAAGAGGCAATGGGACTGGACACTCTTGCCTCACTGCTTACAGGAGTCTTACCATCATCAGCCATGGTTGAAAAATAGTGTGAGCACACCAAAAAAACAACACAACCACACCAATGGAAGAGAACATCAAAGGTAAATTAATTCCCAACAACCGTAGTCCAACAGCAGCACAATAGACCTAGAAAAAACACTCACGCTGGAGTAGAAGACTAAAAACACACAGGTGGAGACCAAAAAACCATCAACCAAAGCATGGAGGAGCCAAAAAACAACCACAAAACCATCTAGAAGTAGCAATCAAGACCAAAGAAGGCCAGAGGAGCTTTGGTCGGCCCCTAGAGATGCGAGCCCAATGGTTGAATCGAGCCAAAAGCTTCCAGAATGAAGTAATCGAAAAATAGGCCTATTTTTTCAAAAAATAAAGAAAAATCAGAAAAAATAAGCAACAAAAAGCAAAAAATTTTGAAAAATTTTCTAGGTACTCTTTGACCCTAGCCGATCATGGTGGTAATTTATTTATTTATTTATTTTTTAACATTACAAACCAATAACAAACGAAGAAGAAGAATAGAAAACTGGAACAAATAAATAAATAAAAGAATAGAAAATTAGTTCTTTGCTTTGATACCAAGTTAAAACTGGAACATAAGAGTTGAGAGAGAGAAGAGGTTTGGTGGAAGAGGAGGCACAAAACCTAATTAGGTTTCTTACCTCTCGTAGTTATAATAATAAGGGAATACGTACAAGTACAGTGTTACCCTCAACCATATAACTTAACACAATGCAAACGAGAGAGAGAATGCAAATGGAAACCAAATGCAAATAGAGAGAATTGAACCCAAGACCTCCTCCAACATGAACTCTAATACCATGTCAAGTCACCAATTGTCCCAAAAGTTAAGCTATTAGGAAATGGGCTTAACAATGTATATATAGCTATCCAGCAATCTTACACTCTCAACAACACAAAAAAGGAAAAGAAAATTGGTGCCAATCCGATTCACTGTTAGAAGCTTTTTATTTGTAGTATTTGATTTTGACTAAAAAGTTTTATCAAGCACGTAATAGCTTTCTTTTCTTTTCTTTGATATCTAGTACAACATCATGTCCTTTATTCTATCAATTTATGTAGTTACTTTCATTTTTTTCTATTCCATTAATTTTTTTAATATATTTTTTTTATTTTTGGCATGATCAGGATGATGATGGTGACAATGCTTTTCATATAGCTGCTGATGCTGCAAAATTGATACGGGAAAATCTAGAATGCATTGTTTTGTTGATGCAATATCCAGATGCTGACATTGAAGCAAGAAATCATAGGCAAGCTAACTTAGTGGATTACTCATTTTGGTCCTTTACTACTTGTGTTAAAACTAGTTAATGTACGTTCCAGCATTACTAAAAGATTTAAGGGTGAGTTGCACTAGATCACTGGTTGATACAGTCTATTTATGATGGCAAACAGTGGTAAGACATTGTGTGACCTTTTGGAAGCCCTGCCACGTGAGTGGATTTCAGAAAGCCTAATGGAAGCACTCATGGATAAAGGAATTCATCTTTCTCCAACAATGTGAGAATAGCAGTTGTTTTCATTTTGTTTTATTACTTCTTCTTTATAGCACTGTACTCATTCATCTTATTTTTTTGCATGGTTTCTAGATTCGAAATAGGGGATTGGGTGAAATTTAGAAGAACGGTTGCCTGTCCTACATATGGGTGGCAAGGGGTAAAGCATGGGAGCGTTGGCTTTGTACAGAGAGTCCTAGACAGTGACAATCTTGTTGTATCATTTTTGTCTGGAGTAGCTCATGTGTTGCCAAATGAGGTTATTAAAGTGATCCCTTTGGACAGAGGACAGCTTGTGCGACTTAAACCTGATATTAAACAGCCAAGGTTTGATGCTATATAGTTTGCCGTCTCTGATTTGCATGTTTCCAATCAAATAAGGTTGCATGGACTTAGTGAGATTGAATTCTGATTAGCATGTTTGCTTCAACTTCTAAATATGAATTCATATTAACAAAGATGATAAAACAACTGCTATTGGACTCTTGAGAAAGCAAATAGAATTTGCATTGGCATAGATGTGCCTTGAAAAATATTGTCCTTTTTTTCTCTTTTTGTTTTTTGAAGTGAACATCCTCCTTCCCCTAGATTTTTAACCAACTCTGTTCCCACTGAAGAACCAAAAATTTTAAGTTGTGAAAATAAAATTTGGTAATGTTCTGTTAATCAGGTATGCTTTGAGAGGTTTGTCACTTGACAGCATCGGAACTGTTCTTTGTGTTGATGATGATGGGATTGTACGTATTGGGTTTAGTGGTGCATCAAGGGGATGGCAAGCTCGTCTCCGAAATTGAACGAGTTGAAGAATTTAAGGTTGGTGACTGGGTTCGTGTTCGCCCTGCTTTAACAGCCACGAAGCATGGACTCGAAGCCGTCACTCCTGGGAGCATTGGGATAGTGAGCTGTATCAAGCCTGACTATAGCTTGTTGTTGGAATTTAGCTATTTGTCAAGCCTGTGGCTTTGTGAACCAGAGGAGGTTGAATCTGTTGTCCCCTTCAGGGTGAGGGACATATTTATTCTCAATTTTATTTTTATTTTTTTAAAAAAAGGAAAATTTTTAATTTTTTGTTACCCTTTACCCCTTTTCTCTTCCTTTGCATTTATATCATGTTAGTTTTCAGATTGGGGACAAGGTTTCTGTGAAGCGATCTGTTGCAGAGCCCAGATTTGCTTGGGGTGGTGAGACACATCACAGTGTTGGAAGAATAATCGATTTTGAGAGTAATGGTCTTTTGATAATTGAAATACCAAATCGGGCTATACCATGGAAGGCGGATCCCTCAGACATGGAAAAGTTGGAGGATTTCAAGGTAATTTTTAGTTGTAAACTGTGAGTGGTGCATTTATTATTCAAAGGAAACATCTGTGGATGGTGATTACTGTGCATGCACTGACAACTTTTTTGGGAAAAAAAAATGCAGGTTGGTGACTGGGTCCATATAAAAACTTCAGTGCCCTCCCCAAAATATGGATGGGAGGATGTCACCCGGCTTAGTATTGGTATAATCCACAGCTTGGATGATAATGGTGACATGGGTGTTGCATTCTGCTTCAGGACCAAGTCGTTTTCTTGCTCTGTGACAGACGTGGAGAAGGTGCTGCCTTTTGAAGTGGGACAAGAGATTCGTGTGATGCCATCAGTGTCACAACCACAGCTTGGATGGTCAAATGAAAGTCCAGCTACCTTTGGGAAAATTGCAAGAATTGACATGGATGGTACTCTTAATGTGAGCATCTTCATCTCATGATCATTTTGTTTGGCTTAGCATGGGGGGTGTGGATTGGTTGATACATTTTTGTGTTTAGTAGTAGCCACCTATACTTTTTATTTGTTAATGAATTCAAATTTACGAGAGCCTGATTGCTATTTGGTGGTGCATAAACCAAAGCATTCTCAATTTTTCCCCTTCAATGGTATCTTACTATCTGATTGGAATTCTTGGAGTATTTGATGATTTTGAGTGAGCAAGTAACGTTCATGTGTGTCTTTTTCACACCATCGCTTCTTCATGGTACTACATTTTTGCATTTTTATGTATTTAAACTTTGAAACTATGAGTAGTGAAGAGTTACGTTGTGTTCCTCATGCAGGTGAGAGTGGCTGGCAGAGTTTGCTTGTGGAAAGTTGCTCCTGGTGATGCAGAACGACTCCCAGGATTTGTGGTTGGTGACTGGGTTCGGGTGAAGCAGTTTCTGGGAAATAGGCCAAATCATGAAGGGAACACATCTGGAAAAGACAATTTAGCACTAGTGCATAGTGTACATGATATTTTCAATTTAGAGTTGGTATGTTGCTTTCGGCAAGGAAGATGGGATGTTCACTACACAGAAGTTGAAAAAGTTGATTCCTTGAAAATAGGGCAGTATGTTCGGTTCCGTGCAGGACTTGCTGAGCCAAGATGGTGCTGGAGAGGCACCTGCCCTAGCTCCAGAGGTGTTATAGTCGGTATAAATTCTAATGGAGAAGTTAAGGTCTCGTTTTTCGGTTTATCAGGTTTGTGGAGAGGAGATCCCTCTGATCTTGAGGTGGAGCAAATGTTTGAGGTTGGAGAATGGGTGAAACTGAAAGATCATGCTAGCAGGTGGAAATCCCTTGGACCTGGCAGTATCGGGGTTGTCCAAGGACTAGGATGCCAAGGAGATGAATGGGATGGCACTTTCCTTGTTGGGTTTTGTGGGGAACAAGAATTGTGGGTAGGGCCCACCTCTGAGGTTGAAAGAGTGAATCGGCTTCTAATAGGTCAAAAGGTGCACGTGAAACTCTCTGTGGAGCAACCAAGATTCGGGTGGTCAGGACATACCCATGCAAGCATCGGTACTATATCAGCAATAGATGCAGATGGAAAGGTTAGGATATACACGCCGGCTGGTTCAAAGACTTGGATGCTCGATCCATCTGAAGTTGACCTGATTGAGGAAGAGAATCTGAAAATCGGAGACTGGGTGAGAGTTAAGTCATGTGTAACAACACCAGTTCATCACTGGGGAGGGGTTACTTGTGAGAGTATTGGGGTGGTTCACCGGATGGAGGAAGGAGAGCTTTGGGTTGCATTTTGTTTTTTGGATAGACTTTGGGTATGCAAAAAATCAGAGATGGAAAGAGTGAGTGCGAGCTTTTGAGATGGGCGATAAGGTGAAATTCAAAGAAAAACTGATAAACCCGAGGTGGGGATGGGGGATGGAAACACCAGCCAGCAAAGGCCAGGTGGTCGGAGTGGATGCTAATGGAAAGCTAAGAATTAAGTTTAAATGGAGGGAAGGACGACCCTGGGTTGGAGACCCTGCTGATATTGTTCTTGATCAGAGCTCTAATGTCACTTCCTGAGAGACTAATTTATGCGCTTTGCAGTGTTCATACTGATCTGTGCCTATACAGCTGACGTTGATCTCATGAGAGGAGCTACAAGTTTTGGATCTCTCGTACGAATATCAATGAAAAGTTCACCCCAATTTTGTTCCTGTCATGATGTGAATAAGCGGTCAATGTAGCAGCCTGAGACGACTTTGGTGGTTGTAAGTATGCCGACTTTTGGAGCCTTAATGCATGATGAATAGGCCTCTAGATTTAAATTATTATTATTATTATTATTTTTTAAAATTCACATACAGATAGGAAGTTGTTCTCATTACAGAGATGCTTGTATAGATATGATCGTAGAGTTTCATGGTTAATACATAAATGTTTTTTTGTCCTCTTTTTTTTTTTTTTTTTGGTTTTCTTTGTTTAATTGTACTGATAGATGTGTTGATTTCGATAACACAGTGGAGAGATGGAAATTAGCCGGAAGAAAGTGCCTGAATGTTTTCCTTGTTTCCATATTTAAAATGGAATTTGTAGTATAAGTTGTACTGTAGAGTGGAAGCCAGTTGAGACTGGTAGTGCTCTACCTGTTATGGTGAGAGGCAGTCAGGACATTTGGGAGTGAGATCCATGTCTCCACCAGTCCGCCACCACTGCTGCCGCCCCAACCCATCCTCTCTTGCCACCCTTCCTTTCGTAAACTCTAGATCTAAAAATCTTATATTGGTGAGGAGTATCGGTTGCAGTGGGGGAAAGAGCTTGGATAAGGGGTTAGTGGGAGACGGGGTTGGGGAAGGTGTTTGCGATGGAGGAGAGGGCTAGGGTGGGGTTACGGTGGGAGAGGGTTGGGGGGTTAGAGGTGGAGGATGTAGTTGCATGGTGGCTGGAGGTGTTGGTTGGGGGTAGGGAATAGAGTTAGGATTTGAAAGGTGAAGGGCCTAAAAGTAAAACTCCAACCATTGTCCTTGTGGAAAAATAATGAGGGTATGTTTGGCAGTATGATGAGTGCAAGCAGAGAATATTAAAATTAATTTTTTTTTAAGGTGACGTAATTAGAAATTGGTTATTTGAGACTAGTGTTTTTTTAGTGTGGTCATGATTCAATGTTTGGTCTTCCTATTAAAAAATAATAATAATAAATAAATTCAATGTGTGGTCAAAATTCTGCCTATGCATGGATTTTACAATATATTCATTGAATTACTACTCTTTTTGATTCTGGTAATTGATTCTGGTGAAATTTACGGCAAAAATTATAGATTAGTAGCTTTATCGTTTTTTTATCCTTTAGTTTTTTCTTTTTAGTGAACTTTTTATGAAAAAAGATTTCAAAAAGGTTTATAGCCTTTTAAAAACCAGAGGATTCAATGAATTAGAAAAGTAAAAAAATAATTTCAAAAACAATATTACTGAAGAAGATTAAAAAAAAAAAAATTTGAAAAAATAAGGGCACTCGGTCCATAAATCTAAACTTGAATATTGTTTAGTCAAAGATTCAAGCGTTGAAACATTATGTTTATAAAGGCAAGTTCTTACAAAATGACCAAGATACCCATACTATATATATCCGTCAATTTCTTTCTTTCTCTCTCTCTCTCTCTCTCTCTCGGTAGGGTTTGTCAGTCGGCTCTCCTCTTCGATAGCACCACCACCGACTCCGCTCTCTTCACTTTTCTCGAAACTATTTTCGTCACTGCCATTGCCACCGCCACTGTCATCGTCACTGTCCCTCCGTTGTAATCGCCGCCAACTTTCGACTTACCTTCCTGCTCTCAATCACTGTTTCCGTTACCTGTCATTTGCTTGCATCCGTACCCTTACAGTCTCCGGTAGCGGCACCACCCCAACAATAAACCCTCTAAGAGTTATACCGGCGACATTCACACACACACACGCACGCACACACACACTCTCTCTCTCTCGCTTTCTCTTTCAAGCTAGGGTTTCTTCGTCCGCCACCATCTCCTACTTTCAGCGATGGTGCTGCCAACTGACTATCACTCATCTACTGTTTTTGTCTGTCATCTTTGTTAAATTTGTCAAGTATTTTCTCAATGTAATGAGATTGTGACAAAGCATATCCTTCTGACGTTTTGATAATTTTCATACCAAGAATTACATCAGCAATGCCCATGTCTTTCATATCAAAATGTTTATTCAACATTTTCTTGGTAGTTTTAATCATGTTATTATTACTACCTATGATGAGCATATCATCTACATAAAGACATACAATGATATAACCTTTATCTGTGTTTTTAATATAAACACATTTGTCACACTCATTAATTTTAAATCCATTTGACATCATTGCCTTGTCAAATTTCTCATGCCATTGCTTTGGCGCTTGTTTTAAACCATATAATGATTTAACCAATTTACACACTTTCTTTTCTTTTCCTGGAACTGAAAAACCTTCTGGTTGCTCCATATAAATTTCTTCATCTAACTCACCATTTAAGAAAGTAATTTTCACATCCATTTGATGAATTTCTAGATTGTATAGAGATGCAATGGCAATTAGCATTCTAATGGATGTTATTCTAGTAACCGGTGAGTATGTGTCAAAGTAATCAAGACCTTCTTTTTGTCTAAATCCTTTGACCACAAGTCTTGCTTTGTATTTGTCTATTGATCCATCCGCTTTCAATTTTCTTTGAAAATCCACTTGTACCCAAAAGGTTTACAACCTGGTGGCAAATCCACCAATTCTCAAGTGTGATTTTGCAAGATAGATTCAACTTCATTATTGATAGCTTCCTTCCATAAAGGAGCTTCAAGATTGGACATAGCCTCTTTAAAAGTTAAAAGCTCATTTTCTAACAAAAATGTTAGAAAATCTGGACCAAAAGATTTTGAGTTTCTAGCACATTTACTACGCCTAGGTTCCTCTTCCTCATTTTGGTCTAACTCTTGCTCTTATTTTTGATCCTAACTAGTAATAGCATCATGAGATCTTTTATTACTACTAGTTTCTTGTCCAGTCTTATTTGGAAATACATGTTCAAAGAAAAATGCATTCCGAGATTCAATAATAGTATTTACATGCATTTCGGAATGTTCTGATTTATGGATCAAAAACCAATATGCACTACTATTTTTGGCATAACCAATGAAAATGCAATCAATGGTCTTAGGACCTATCTTAGTCTTTTTAGGACTAGGTAAAGCCACTTTAGCCAAACACCCCACACTTTTAAGTATTTGTAGGATGGTACTCTTCCATGCCACAATTTATAAGGTGTTTGATTCACTTTCTTTCGGGATACTTTATTAAGTATATAATTAGCAGAAAGTATTGCTTTCCCCCCACAAGTTCTGAGGTAATCCAGAATTTATTAACATGACATTTATCATTTCTTTTAAAGTCCTATTTTTCCTTTTAGCAATTCCATTTTGCTGAGGTGAGTAAGGAGCGATGGTTTGATGAATTATTCCATGTTCTTTACAAAACTCATCAAAAGGTGATTCATATTCACCACCTCTATCACTTCTAAGTTTCTTGATTTTCTTACCAAGTTGTTTTTCAACTTTATTCTTATATTGAATGAAAGTTTTCAAAACTTCATCATTGGATCGAATTAAATAAACATAACTATATCTAGTATAGTCATCTATAAAAATGATAAAATATTTTTTCCCACCTCTAGTTTGAATTGATTTAAAATCACAGATGTCACTATGAATTAATTCAAGTGATTCTGTACTTCTTCCAATTGAATGGAAAGAAGTTTTGGATAATTTTACCTCAACGCAAATTTCACATTTATGATTTGAATCAATGTCAAATTTAGGTAAACATTATATATTAATTACTCTACGCAAAGATCCATAATTAACATGTTCTAATCTACCATGCCATAAATTTGAAGACTCAAGCAAGTAAGAAGAAGATATATTTTTATTAATAACTGAGGGTACAACGGTCATTACATTCATCTTGAAAAGGCCATCAGACATGTAACCTTTTTTCTACATACATCCCATTCTTAGTAAGTACAAATTTATCACTCTCAAATACTAGCCTAAACCCATTCTTACTCAACAAAGATCCGGAAACAAGATTCTTGCGAATGTCCGGTACATGTAGCACATTGTTGAGAGTAAGTGCTTTCTAGATATCATCTTAAATACAATCTTTCCTTGTCCTTCAACTTTGGAAGTCGAAGAGTTGCCCATAAAAAGTTGTTCACCATTGTCCACTGTAGAATAAGATGTGAACATCTTTTTGTCGGCACAGATATGGCGAGTAACACCAGTGTCCACCCACCATTCTTTAGGATTTCCGACAAGATTTGCCTTGAAAACAACTACAGAAAGATTGATATCATCTACACCATTGAAAATATTGTCCACTTCAGTCATGTGGGCTTGAGCAGGCTTCTTGCTTGTTCTTCTTTTGTTTTTTCCTTTGCTACAGCAATCTTTGGCCCGATGTCCCTCTTTATCACAGACGTAACATTTGTCATTAAACTTGTACTTTTTATTTTCCCTCCCTTTAGAGCCTTGTGATGAACTTTCTCCAGAAGACTTTCGTTTCTTGGTTTTTGAAGCATGTTCCACCACATTTGCCTTAAACTCTATAGAATGCTTACCAGTCCGCTTTTCAAAATTGCGGTTGTCCTCCTCAATCCTCAAACGCACAATTAATTCTTTTATAGACATTTCTTTGCGCTTGTGTTTGAGGTAGCTCTTGAATTCCTTCCAGCCTTGTGATAATTTCTCAATTAAAGCTGCAACTTGGAAGGATTTATTAAGAAACATGCCTTCTACGTGAATGTCATGCAGAATGAGTTGGAAATCTTAAACTTGGCTGATCACAGTTTTTGAATAAACCATTACAAAATCCAGGAATTTGCCAACCACAAATTTTTTTGAGCCGGCATCTTCCGTTTTGTATTTTTTCTCCAAAGACTCCCAAAGTTCCTTTGCTGTCTTGATAGGACTGTAGACGTCGTATAATGTGTTGTCAAGTCCGTTCAAGATGTAGTTCCTGTAAAAGAAATCAGCATGTTTCCAGGCATCGACTGCAACAAGCACTTGCCGGTCGGTTTCATCCTCTTTTAAAATAGGAGCATCCTCACGAAGGAAACGAGCCAGGTTTAGAGTTGTAAGATAGAACAACATTTTTTGTTGCCATCTTTTAAAATAAGTTCCTGAGAAGTTCTCTGACTTTTCACCGTGATTTACCGGTACTGTCACAACAGGAGAGGGGGTTGGTACAATTGCAGCCACCACAGTAGTACTTGCTTGAGCATTTGTTTCAGTAGCCATGAATTCTAAATTATAAACAAAATTATAATTAGAATTTATACTACATAGAAAATTAATCCAAATTCACAGAATTAAATTCTGTAAAAATAAAAGAAATAAGAATGTAACTTTTATTTTCCA